AGCTCCGTGGTAAAGCACCCGATCAGTATGCATAGGTCGGTAGTTCAATCCTGCCTGGGGGCAGTGACCGTGGGCGCATCCATTATAAGGCACAAGTTCTAGCACCTCCTTACTCGAGCAAGCCATAGCTCCGTGGTAGAGCACCCGATCAGTAAGTGGAAGGTCGGTAGTTCAATCGTGCCTGGGGACAGTGGCCATGTGCCGTACCTATCACATGTCACAAGTTCTAGTATCTCCTTGCTCGAGAGAGTGGCTCAACTTGCTCGTATCTTTTCATCGTAGTAGGCGTTACGCTTCCATTTTATACAACATACTTTGATAGGCTCGCCTGCTATATCCGTACCATAGGCGGTGACGATCAGTCTATCTCATAAAGTGTCATATCCTTTACTTCAATCGAGTCATTGGCTAGCACCCCGTTTATAACCAGCGCGGCTGTACGTCACATTGATACCAATCCCCGTTTTGTTGGCACTTCAAATAGATACGACATCGATACACCTTGCTGCAAAGTATTCAACGTCTCTACCACATCCGCGGTACAGCAGTAGCCTTCGTTTGTCCCGTCATTTTGTGTTAGTTACAGTCCAGGTGGGATGTACCGGACATGTATGCATCAGAATGCCGCCTGGTGCTTGTAAGCGTCCTCTAGCCATCAGCACCATAGCTGGGCCACAACAGAGTAGGGTGACAAGAGACGGCATTCGATGCAGCGTGTGGGTCTATGGTTATCGTGATGACACACAAGCTGGGAAGCTCGCCACGCATACCGTGCACGGAATGTGGCTGACGTGACGGTGATTTCGTGTCTCAGGGGACGAGAAAAAGGTCCGAAAAAATTGTTGGTTGCGAGACGTTTTTGGAGCCCCTATAGCTCAGTGGTAGAGCACCCGCTTAGTAAGCGGAAGGTCGGTAGTTCAATCCTGCCTGGGGGCAGTGACCGTGGGCGCATCCATTATAACGCACAAGTTCTCTAGCACCTCCTTACTCGAGCAAGCCATAGCTCCGTGGTAAAGCACCCGATCAGTATGCATAGGTCGGTAGTTCAATCCTGCCTGGGGGCAGTGACCGTGGGCGCATCCATTATAAGGCACAAGTTCTAGCACCTCCTTACTCGAGCAAGCCATAGCTCCGTGGTAGAGCACCCGATCAGTAAGTGGAAGGTCGGTAGTTCAATCGTGCCTGGGGACAGTGGCCATGTGCCGTACCTATCACATGTCACAAGTTCTAGTATCTCCTTGCTCGAGAGAGTGGCTCAACTTGCTCGTATCTTTTCATCGTAGTAGGCGTTACGCTTCCATTTTATACAACATACTTTGATAGACTCGCCTGCTATATCCGTACCATAGGCGGTGACGATCAGTCTATCTCATAAAGTGTCATATCCTTTACTTCAATCGAGTCATTGGCTAGCACCCCGTTTATAACCAGCGCGGCTGTACGTCACATTGATACCAATCCCCGTTTTGTTGGCACTTCAAATAGATACGACATCGATACACCTTGCTGCAAAGTATTCAACGTCTCTACCACATCCGCGGTACAGCAGTAGCCTTCGTTTGTCCCGTCATTTTGTGTTAGTTACAGTCCAGGTGGGATGTACCGGACATGTATGCATCAGAATGCCGCCTGGTGCTTGTAAGCGTCCTCTAGCCATCAGCACCATAGCTGGGCCACAACAGAGTAGGGTGACAAGAGACGGCATTCGATGCAGCGTGTGGGTCTATGGTTATCGTGATGACACACAAGCTGGGAAGCTCGCCACGCATACCGTGCACGGAATGTGGCTGACGTGACGGTGATTTCGTGTCTCAGGGGACGAGAAAAAGGTCCGAAAAAATTGTTGGTTGCGAGACGTTTTTGGAGCCCCTATAGCTCAGTGGTAGAGCACCCGCTTAGTAAGCGGAAGGTCGGTAGTTCAATCCTGCCTGGGGGCAGTGACCGTGTGCGCATCCATTATAAGGCACAAGTTCTAGCACCTCCTTACTCGAGCAAGCCATAGCTCCGTGGTAAAGCACCCGATCAGTATGCATAGGTCGGTAGTTCAATCCTGCCTGGGGGCAGTGACCGTGGGCGCATCCATTATAAGGCACAAGTTCTAGCACCTCCTTACTCGAGCAAGCCATAGCTCCGTGGCAGAGCACCCGATCAGTAAGTGGAAGGTCGGTAGTTCAATCGTGCCTGGGGACAGTGGCCATGTGCCGTACCTATCACATGTCACAAGTTCTAGTATCTCCTTGCTCGAGAGAGTGGCTCAACTTGCTCGTATCTTTTCATCGTAGTAGGCGTTACGCTTCCATTTTATACAACATACTTTGATAGGCTCGCCTGCTATATCCGTACCATAGGCGGTGACGATCAGTCTATCTCATAAAGTGTCATATCCTTTACTTCAATCGAGTCATTGGCTAGCACCCCGTTTATAACCAGCGCGGCTGTACGTCACATTGATACCAATCCCCGTTTTGTTGGCACTTCAAATAGATACGACATCGATACACCTTGCTGCAAAGTATTCAACGTCTCTACCACATCCGCGGTACAGCAGTAGACTTCGTTTGTCCCGTCATTTTGTGTTAGTTACAGTCCAGGTGGGATGTACCGGACATGTATGCATCAGAATGCCGCCTGGTGCTTGTAAGCGTCCTCTAGCCATCAGCACCATAGCTGGGCCACAACAGAGTAGGGTGACAAGAGACGGCATTCGATGCAGCGTGTGGGTCTATGGTTATCGTGATGACACACAAGCTGGGAAGCTCGCCACGCATACCGTGCACGGAATGTGGCTGACGTGACGGTGATTTCGTGTCTCAGGGGACGAGAAAAAGGTCCGAAAAAATTGTTGGTTGCGAGACGTTTTTGGAGCCCCTATAGCTCAGTGGTAGAGCACCCGCTTAGTAAGCGGAAGGTCGGTAGTTTAATCCTGCCTGGGGGCAGTGACCGTGGGCGCATCCATTATAAGGCACAAGTTCTAGCACCTCCTTACTCGAGCAAGCCATAGCTCCGTGGTAAAGCACCCGATCAGTATGCATAGGTCGGTAGTTCAATCCTGCCTGGGGGCAGGGACCGTGGGCGCATCCATTATAAGGCACAAGTTCTAGCACCTCCTTACTCGAGCAAGCCATAGCTCCGTGGTAAAGCACCCGATCAGTATGCATAGGTCGGTAGTTCAATCCTGCCTGGGGGCAGTGACCGTGGGCGCATCCATTATAAGGCACAAGTTCTAGCACCTCCTTACTCGAACAAGCCATAGCTCCGTGGTAGAGCACCCGATCAGTAAGTGGAAGGTCGGTAGTTCAATCGTGCCTGGGGACAGTGGCCATGTGCCGTACCTATCACATGTCACAAGTTCTAGTATCTCCTTGCTCGAGAGAGTGGCTCAACTTGCTCGTATCTTTTCATCGTAGTAGGCGTTACGCTTCCATTTTATACAACATACTTTGATAGGCTCGCCTGCTATATCCGTACCATAGGCGGTGACGATCAGTCTATCTCATAAAGTGTCATATCCTTTACTTCAATCGAGTCATTGGCTAGCACCCCGTTTATAACCAGCGCGGCTGTACGTCACATTGATACCAATCCCCGTTTTGTTGGCACTTCAAATAGATACGACATCGATACACCTTGCTGCAAAGTATTCAACGTCTCTACCACATCCGCGGTACAGCAGTAGCCTTCGTTTGTCCCGTCATTTTGTGTTAGTTACAGTCCAGGTGGGATGTACCGGACATGTATGCATCAGAATGCCGCCTGGTGCTTGTAAGCGTCCTCTAGCCATCAGCACCATAGCTGGGCCACAACAGAGTAGGGTGACAAGAGACGGCATTCGATGCAGCGTGTGGGTCTATGGTTATCGTGATGACACACAAGCTGGGAAGCTCGCCACGCATACCGTGCACGGAATGTGGCTGACGTGACGGTGATTTCGTGTCTCAGGGGACGAGAAAAAGGTCCGAAAAAAATTGTTGGTTGCGAGACGTTTTTGGAGCCCCTATAGCTCAGTGGTAGAGCACCCGCTTAGTAAGCGGAAGGTCGGTAGTTCAATCCTGCCTGGGGGCAGTGACCGTGGGCGCATCCATTATAAGGCACAAGTTCTAGCACCTCCTTACTCGAGCAAGCCATAGCTCCGTGGTAAAGCACCCGATCAGTATGCATAGGTCGGTAGTTCAATCCTGCCTGGGGGCAGTGACCGTGGGCGCATCCATTATAAGGCACAAGTTCTAGCACCTCCTTACTCGAGCAAGCCATAGCTCCGTGGTAGAGCACCCGATCAGTAAGTGGAAGGTCGGTAGTTCAATCGTGCCTGGGGACAGTGGCCATGTGCCGTACCTATCACATGTCACAAGTTCTAGTATCTCCTTGCTCGAGAGAGTGGCTCAACTTGCTCGTATCTTTTCATCGTAGTAGGCGTTACGCTTCCATTTTATACAACATACTTTGATAGGCTCGCCTGCTATATCCGTACCATAGGCGGTGACGATCAGTCTATCTCATAAAGTGTCATATCCTTTACTTCAATCGAGTCATTGGCTAGCACCCCGTTTATAACCAGCGCGGCTGTACGTCACATTGATACCAATCCCCGTTTTGTTGGCACTTCAAATAGATACGACATCGATACACCTTGCTGCAAAGTATTCAACGTCTCTACCACATCCGCGGTACAGCAGTAGCCTTCGTTTGTCCCGTCATTTTGTGTTAGTTACAGTCCAGGTGGGATGTACCGGACATGTATGCATCAGAATGCCGCCTGGTGCTTGTAAGCGTCCTCTAGCCATCAGCACCATAGCTGGGCCACAACAGAGTAGGGTGACAAGAGACGGCATTCGATGCAGCGTGTGGGTCTATGGTTATCGTGATGACACACAAGCTGGGAAGCTCGCCACGCATACCGTGCACGGAATGTGGCTGACGTGACGGTGATTTCGTGTCTCAGGGGACGAGAAAAAGGTCCGAAAAAATTGTTGGTTGCGAGACGTTTTTGGAGCCCCTATAGCTCAGTGGTAGAGCACCCGCTTAGTAAGCGAAGGTCGGTAGTTCAATCCTGCCTGGGGGCAGTGACCGTGGGCGCATCCATTATAAGGCACAAGTTCTAGCACCTCCTTACTCGAGCAAGCCATAGCTCCGTGGTAGAGCACCCGATCAGTAAGTGGAAGGTCGGTAGTTCAATCGTGCCTGGGGACAGTGGCCATGTGCCGTACCTATCACATGTCACAAGTTCTAGTATCTCCTTGCTCGAGAGAGTGGCTCAACTTGCTCGTATCTTTTCATCGTAGTAGGCGTTACGCTTCCATTTTATACAACATACTTTGATAGGCTCGCCTGCTATATCCGTACCATAGGCGGTGACGATCAGTCTATCTCATAAAGTGTCATATCCTTTACTTCAATCGAGTCATTGGCTAGCACCCCGTTTATAACCAGCGCGGCTGTACGTCACATTGATACCAATCCCCGTTTTGTTGGCACTTCAAATAGATACGACATCGATACACCTTGCTGCAAAGTATTCAACGTCTCTACCACATCCGCGGTACAGCAGTAGCCTTCGTTTGTCCCGTCATTTTGTGTTAGTTACAGTCCAGGTGGGATGTACCGGACATGTATGCATCAGAATGCCGCCTGGTGCTTGTAAGCGTCCTCTAGCCATCAGCACCATAGCTGGGCCACAACAGAGTAGGGTGACAAGAGACGGCATTCGATGCAGCGTGTGGGTCTATGGTTATCGTGATGACACACAAGCTGGGAAGCTCGCCACGCATACCGTGCACGGAATGTGGCTGACGTGACGGTGATTTCGTGTCTCAGGGGACGAGAAAAAGGTCCGAAAAAATTGTTGGTTGCGAGACGTTTTTGGAGCCCCTATAGCTCAGTGGTAGAGCACCCGCTTAGTAAGCGGAAGGTCGGTAGTTCAATCCTGCCTGGGGGCAGTGACCGTGTGCGCATCCATTATAAGGCACAAGTTCTAGCACCTCCTTACTCGAGCAAGCCATAGCTCCGTGGTAAAGCACCCGATCAGTATGCATAGGTCGGTAGTTCAATCCTGCCTGGGGGCAGTGACCGTGGGCGCATCCATTATAAGGCACAAGTTCTAGCACCTCCTTACTCGAGCAAGCCATAGCTCCGTGGTAGAGCACCCGATCAGTAAGTGGAAGGTCGGTAGTTCAATCGTGCCTGGGGACAGTGGCCATGTGCCGTACCTATCACATGTCACAAGTTCTAGTATCTCCTTGCTCGAGAGAGTGGCTCAACTTGCTCGTATCTTTTCATCGTAGTAGGCGTTACGCTTCCATTTTATACAACATACTTTGATAGGCTCGCCTGCTATATCCGTACCATAGGCGGTGACGATCAGTCTATCTCATAAAGTGTCATATCCTTTACTTCAATCGAGTCATTGGCTAGCACCCCGTTTATAACCAGCGCGGCTGTACGTCACATTGATACCAATCCCCGTTTTGTTGGCACTTCAAATAGATACGACATCGATACACCTTGCTGCAAAGTATTCAACGTCTCTACCACATCCGCGGTACAGCAGTAGCCTTCGTTTGTCCCGTCATTTTGTGTTAGTTACAGTCCAGGTGGGATGTACCGGACATGTATGCATCAGAATGCCGCCTGGTGCTTGTAAGCGTCCTCTAGCCATCAGCACCATAGCTGGGCCACAACAGAGTAGGGTGACAAGAGACGGCATTCGATGCAGCGTGTGGGTCTATGGTTATCGTGATGACACACAAGCTGGGAAGCTCGCCACGCATACCGTGCACGGAATGTGGCTGACGTGACGGTGATTTCGTGTCTCAGGGGACGAGAAAAAGGTCCGAAAAAAATTGTTGGTTGCGAGACGTTTTTGGAGCCCCTATAGCTCAGTGGTAGAGCACCCGCTTAGTAAGCGAAGGTCGGTAGTTCAATCCTGCCTGGGGGCAGTGACCGTGTGCGCATCCATTATAAGGCACAAGTTCTAGCACCTCCTTACTCGAGCAAGCCATAGCTCCGTGGTAAAGCACCCGATCAGTATGCATAGGTCGGTAGTTCAATCCTGCCTGGGGGCAGTGACCGTGGGCGCATCCATTATAAGGCACAAGTTCTAGCACCTCCTTACTCGAGCAAGCCATAGCTCCGTGGTAAAGCACCCGATCAGTATGCATAGGTCGGTAGTTCAATCCTGCCTGGGGGCAGTGACCGTGGGCGCATCCATTATAAGGCACAAGTTCTAGCACCTCCTTACTCGAGCAAGCCATAGCTCCGTGGTAGAGCACCCGATCAGTAAGTGGAAGGTCGGTAGTTCAATCGTGCCTGGGGACAGTGGCCATGTGCCGTACCTATCACATGTCACAAGTTCTAGTATCTCCTTGCTCGAGAGAGTGGCTCAACTTGCTCGTATCTTTTCATCGTAGTAGGCGTTACGCTTCCATTTTATACAACATACTTTGATAGGCTCGCCTGCTATATCCGTACCATAGGCGGTGACGATCAGTCTATCTCATAAAGTGTCATATCCTTTACTTCAATCGAGTCATTGGCTAGCACCCCGTTTATAACCAGCGCGGCTGTACGTCACATTGATACCAATCCCCGTTTTGTTGGCACTTCAAATAGATACGACATCGATACACCTTGCTGCAAAGTATTCAACGTCTCTACCACATCCGCGGTACAGCAGTAGCCTTCGTTTGTCCCGTCATTTTGTGTTAGTTACAGTCCAGGTGGGATGTACCGGACATGTATGCATCAGAATGCCGCCTGGTGCTTGTAAGCGTCCTCTAGCCATCAGCACCATAGCTGGGCCACAACAGAGTAGGGTGACAAGAGACGGCATTCGATGCAGCGTGTGGGTCTATGGTTATCGTGATGACACACAAGCTGGGAAGCTCGCCACGCATACCGTGCACGGAATGTGGCTGACGTGACGGTGATTTCGTGTCTCAGGGGACGAGAAAAAGGTCCGAAAAAATTGTTGGTTGCGAGACGTTTTTGGAGCCCCTATAGCTCAGTGGTAGAGCACCCGCTTAGTAAGCGAAGGTCGGTAGTTCAATCCTGCCTGGGGGCAGTGACCGTGTGCGCATCCATTATAAGGCACAAGTTCTAGCACCTCCTTACTCGAGCAAGCCATAGCTCCGTGGTAAAGCACCCGATCAGTATGCATAGGTCGGTAGTTCAATCCTGCCTGGGGGCAGTGACCGTGGGCGCATCCATTATAAGGCACAAGTTCTAGCACCTCCTTACTCGAGCAAGCCATAGCTCCGTGGTAAAGCACCCGATCAGTATGCATAGGTCGGTAGTTCAATCCTGCCTGGGGGCAGTGACCGTGGGCGCATCCATTATAAGGCACAAGTTCTAGCACCTCCTTACTCGAGCAAGCCATAGCTCCGTGGTAGAGCGCCCGATCAGTAAGTGGAAGGTCGGTAGTTCAATCGTGCCTGGGGACAGTGGCCATGTGCCGTACCTATCACATGTCACAAGTTCTAGTATCTCCTTGCTCGAGAGAGTGGCTCAACTTGCTCGTATCTTTTCATCGTAGTAGGCGTTACGCTTCCATTTTATACAACATACTTTGATAGGCTCGCCTGCTATATCCGTACCATAGGCGGTGACGATCAGTCTATCTCATAAAGTGTCATATCCTTTACTTCAATCGAGTCATTGGGGGGCCCCCCGTTTTTAACAGCGGGGGGGGGGGGCCACTTTGGTCACACCCCCCCCTTTGTTGGGCCTTAAAAAAAAAAAGAAGACACAAACCCCCGCTGCAAAAAGTATTCAACGTCTCTACCACATCCGCGGTACAGCAGTAGCCTTCGTTTGTCCCGTCATTTTGTGTTAGTTACAGTCCAGGTGGGATGTACCGGACATGTATGCATCAGAATGCCGCCTGGTGCTTGTAAGCGTCCTCTAGCCATCAGCACCATAGCTGGGCCACAACAGAGTAGGGTGACAAGAGACGGCATTCGATGCAGCGTGTGGGTCTATGGTTATCGTGATGACACACAAGCTGGGAAGCTCGCCACGCATACCGTGCACGGAATGTGGCTGACGTGACGGTGATTTCGTGTCTCAGGGGACGAGAAAAAGGTCCGAAAAAATTGTTGGTTGCGAGACGTTTTTGGAGCCCCTATAGCTCAGTGGTAGAGCACCCGCTTAGTAAGCGGAAGGTCGGTAGTTCAATCCTGCCTGGGGGCAGTGACCGTGTGCGCATCCATTATAAGGCACAAGTTCTAGCACCTCCTTACTCGAGCAAGCCATAGCTCCGTGGTAAAGCACCCGATCAGTATGCATAGGTCGGTAGTTCAATCCTGCCTGGGGGCAGTGACCGTGGGCGCATCCATTATAAGGCACAAGTTCTAGCACCTCCTTACTCGAGCAAGCCATAGCTCCGTGGTAGAGCACCCGATCAGTAAGTGGAAGGTCGGTAGTTCAATCGTGCCTGGGGACAGTGGCCATGTGCCGTACCTATCACATGTCACAAGTTCTAGTATCTCCTTGCTCGAGAGAGTGGCTCAACTTGCTCGTATCTTTTCATCGTAGTAGGCGTTACGCTTCCATTTTATACAACATACTTTGATAGGCTCGCCTGCTATATCCGTACCATAGGCGGTGACGATCAGTCTATCTCATAAAGTGTCATATCCTTTACTTCAATCGAGTCATTGGCTAGCACCCCGTTTATAACCAGCGCGGCTGTACGTCACATTGATACCAATCCCCGTTTTGTTGGCACTTCAAATAGATACGACATCGATACACCTTGCTGCAAAGTATTCAACGTCTCTACCACATCCGCGGTACAGCAGTAGCCTTCGTTTGTCCCGTCATTTTGTGTTAGTTACAGTCCAGGTGGGATGTACCGGACATGTATGCATCAGAATGCCGCCTGGTGCTTGTAAGCGTCCTCTAGCCATCAGCACCATAGCTGGGCCACAACAGAGTAGGGTGACAAGAGACGGCATTCGATGCAGCGTGTGGGTCTATGGTTATCGTGATGACACACAAGCTGGGAAGCTCGCCACGCATACCGTGCACGGAATGTGGCTGACGTGACGGTGATTTCGTGTCTCAGGGGACGAGAAAAAGGTCCGAAAAAATTGTTGGTTGCGAGACGTTTTTGGAGCCCCTATAGCTC